AAATAATGTAAATAGCATGTCCTCTCTCGAGGTCCTCAGTTCATTGATGAAAGAAATCTGAGCACCTGGGTGGTTCTGAAAATGTGGACGTGAAGAGTTTTCCTCCTCCTGCCCTGGACCCTCAGGTTCTGAGAGGGGTCTCAGTGCAGGAAGGTCTGCTTACCTCTAAGTAGAGCCAACCTCACAAATACCCAGACTGACAGTTCTTCACTCCATGAAAGAATTCCTTTATTACAGTTCCCAAAGTATCACAGTGTTTGAGTAGAGGCCATTAACTAATTGACAGAGAAGCTGTTGGGCTGGGGGGAAGGAGGCAGAGGAGTTAAAATTAAATGGCAGGAGGCCTTGCCAACTGGAGTAGATTCAAAAAAGAGAAACCATCTTGGAGATCAATGAGAAAGAATCAAATAGGAAGCAATCAAATTATCAAAACACTATTGATGGACAAGAAGATGTTTTATTTTTGTTGTTTTAAAATAAGTTTTCTATTGAGTCCATCACCAAAGTCGTTTTAACCACATGCCTTGTGGAAACCTGTATGTCAAAACCAAAAAATACGCACTGTATTAGAATTATTCTATGAATCCACCCATCTATCCATCCACCATCCATCTCACTACCTATATATCTAAGTACATTGGTGAATACCTGTGCCAAGCATTTCATTTGTCTGTTTGTCTGTCTAGCTAGTTAGCTATCATCCTCAGGGTGCATATATCAAGCCTATCCCCCAGCATTGCCTAACCATTGGCAATTCTTCCTACTAATCATGGCAACTTTACTTTCTGGCAAAATAGGATAATTTGTTTTATTGTTTATTGATGTCATATAACCCTAAGGATGATACCCACAATGCTATGTGCTTCCTGTGTGATGTTGGATTGTTACCTGACATCTCTGTTCCCATTTGGTTCCTCATCTGGAAATTGGGTGTCCTAAGAATACCTGTGTAACCATGGCATTTGAGCATTTAATGGGAGAAGCTCTGGACAAATGGTAAATGTGAGGCTGAGGATAATGATAACACCACCATGCCATTACCAAACTCAAACTCCTTTCAGACTTTCTTTTTCCTTTTCTAGGTCACCTGGTTCCCAAGTAACCACCATCTGGAGACCAGAGAAGCATTCACCACTGCAAGTCAGAGCTTCCTTGGTCTATCCCAGGGGCAGCCTGCTGAGGGGAAAGCTGACACCAGGGATTTCAACCTTCCTTGGCTTCCTCATTCCTCATTCCTCATTCTATTAATCTGGCTGTTAAGCAGAGAGAGGCCTGCTGATGCCAACAGCTGCAAAGCTCTGCTGTGCTGATGGCAAAGAGCATTAGAGGAGTCCTCGCCAGCCAATCAATCCATCTCCCCCAACTCAGAACAGCTGCACAGAGACAGATTAACCAAGCAATGGGTAAGGACAGATGTGATTCATACCAGGGAGAGGTGTGCACAAAGGACAGGGCACCTGGGTGGCCCAGTGTTCCCATGCAGGCTGGGCCCTGAGCAAGCCAAGCTGCCCATGAGTGACGCAAGGGCACAGCTCACAGTGAAATCGAACAGGCAGGCCCACCTGTGGCACCGGGGCTTTAGGACGAAGTAGGCAGCGGCTGCCTAGAGAAGCCCAGCACACTGGGGGAGGAAGTGGAAACTGACCAAGGGCTAAGAGTACATCTGCCATGTTACTTCCACGAGGTTAGTTCTCGCAAGCTTGGCCACATCTGCCATCTTGCCTATAGCATATGCATTACATTTGGGGCACTGCTTTCTGCCTGAAAGCACTTCTCTGTCCCTCTCATCTGACCTGCAGGCAGCTGAACAGGATCCCACTGTTTACCCCACGATGGGCACGGGCTCAGTAGAAAGTCAGATTTGGCCACAAGCCTGTGCCAACAGTTCCAAAAAAGTATTCGTACTTTGGTTAGGTGCCAGTGTCTCTTCAACACGGGAAAACAGGACTCAGAGAAAGACAATATCCTACAGTTCCCCGAAGACCAAGAACCAGATGAGACCGATGAAGCGTTGTTTGGAGACAAATTGAGTCATTTCCCCAGTGGCGTGGCACAAATGCAGAAAGTCCGTCTCATGCCACTGTGGGCTGCAGATCAAGGCTCAGGTTCCCTGAATGAATGGATGTGACTTTAAGAGTAGTCATTCTATAGGGGGGAGTTATCACCCTCAGGAAATGATGACCACGTGACCACGCTTCGTCAGGGAAGTTTTAAAGAGCTGCTGGGTGGTGTCCAGAGTGAAGAACACTGGGAGCTGGTCAATGACAGAGTCATTTAGGGTGCTGCATCTCCAAGGCTAGGAGGTTGAGACCTGGCTCTCAGGGTTCTGGACACAGACTGTTTCCTGAGTCTAAAAAGGTTTCCTTCTGGGCAAGGACTATCAGAGAGAAGGGCCATCACCTTGTTTTATTGTTTACTTATTTAAGTTTATTTATTTCATGAGCATATGTGAGCTAAAGATGGCACCCCCAACAAAGTCTTGATGCTGTGATGCACCCCCAGCCTCAGCCAGCCCCAGATCATGGGCTTATGCATGCCCAGCATACTCAGAGAGGTCTCCAGATACAGACATAAAACCTTCCCAGGTAGACGAGCTTCACAGAGGGTGTATTTTACTGCTGCACCACTATCTGGCCCCAGAGCCATCATTTGAAAAACACACTTTGGAAGTTCTCTTATAAACTATCGGATAGGCTGGAGAAAGGCCTGTTTCCCAAAGTGTGACACGGATACCTCTGGGAGCACTTTGAGATGATTTTAGAGGGTACTCAAAGAAGCCTTTTAATTTTATTTTCATAATTGAGTATTTATTTCAATATTGTGCAAAAAATGAGCGCTTCAAACTTGTGAAGCCACAAGTCATTATTCCTTGAGACAGCATTTTCCAACTCTTGACACATGAGCATTTGGGGCTGGAGAATTCTTTCCTGTGGAGGGCCGGCATGTGTGCTGTAGAATTTTTAACAGCAGCTCTGGTCTCTACGTGTTGGATACCAGATGAGGCACCAAAAATGTCTTTAGACATTGTCAAATGCCTCCTAGGGGTCAAAATCATCCCATGGTTGAAAATCTTGAGCTTAGGATAGTCTAGTCCTGAAAGTTAGGTGAGTTTAGTTAGGGAAAAAATGTATTTTTAGGTAATTACTAAAAGGTGGTATGTGAATAGTGGAAGTATAGAAGAAAACAGAGAATGGCCAGATGGGCAGAGGAAACTTCCCCCCGTCAAAGTCGCACTCACTCCTCTTTCTTGCCAGCCCTGCTGCCTGATCTCCTTGGAGCTGGTACTCCATTCGTGTGCCAGGGAGTGAGAGGACAGACAGGCACAAAGAAATCCTGAGGGTCCATCTTCCCTACAACTGGTGTTCCAGGCCAAAGGAGAAACAGGATAGATTTGTTCCTCTCATTTTCCTTGGAAAAGCCCAGCCAGAGATGCTAGGGAGAGAACAAGGGCCCAAGGAGGAGGCCAAAGAGCAAGGGAGGTGGGTGGTCTCTGCTGGCATGCTCCAGAAATCCCCATAAGTTGTTACTAAGCCTTGAAATGTTCCAATAAGTTTGACCATGTTTAATACTTGAAAACTATTTGCTCCTGAGCTCTGAATAGAGACCATTCTGTCTTTCTTCTCTTTTTACTTCTTAGTACTGTGGTTTGGATTATGATTTGTCCCCCATGATTTGTTCATGTTCTGGAAACTTGGTCCCCATTTTAATGGCTCTGGGAGGTGGTGAGACCTTTAAGAGGTAGGGCCTAGTGGGAGGGCACCATCCAATCAGCTGAGGATGTGGGAAAGACAGTTAAGTATAAAAGTTTAATTCCTCTCTCTCTCTCTCTCTCTCTCTCTCTCTCTCTCACTCTCTCGTTTTCGCTCTCGCTCTCTTGCTCTCTCCATGTGGCTGCTGACCTACCTGCTTCTTTCAGCCATGCTGTGACTTGAGATCAGGAGCCAGTCAGAGGCCAACCTCATGCTCTTAAATGTTCAGGAGCCAGTCAGAGGCCAACCTCATGCTCATAAATGTTCTAATCACCAGAATTGGAAACAAATAAATCTGTATTCTTTATTCAGTCTCAGGTGTCTCTGCTTAGGAACATAACAATGGACTAATACACTTACCAACCCACGGAGCTAAGAAAACAAAGGATACCTCCCCCTCAACTCCAGTAGGAAATTTAACAGTTCTATTAAATGTAAAAGGCTAACACAAACATTTAGAATGGGCCACTGACTTCCGGAATTCTCAACCACAAGCCTGCAAGATAGGCATGATTATTACAGTAGTATTCCAGATGGGAAAATGGTGGCTTAAAGCTTAAGTGCACACCCCACCCCACCCCCACAAATGTCACAGTGCTAGAAGACACAGAACTCTGCCTGGGTCTACTGGACTCCAGTCCCATACTCATAGCTGCTGTGCTGACCTATAGGAAAGTTGAAAGTGGACAATCAGGTTTGTGTCCTCCATTCCAAGGTCCATTGGTCATCAACCCCACACAGAAACACCATTGCAACCCACATTCCTAAGAATGGTTTAACCTGCAAGTGGACAGAAGGACACAGCTTCCTTCCATTGCAGCTGGGTCTGGATGCCCTGAAGGCCAAGCCCTCCAAATCCATAGATAGGGAAGAGCAGCATCTTCCCACTTCATGGCTTCCCTGTCTCATTTCTTCCTTTGTATTTATCTCCTTACGATTGTTGGGCAGGAGCAAAGGACAGAGAGAAACTCAAAAGAAATGGTCATGGTTCTTGCCACAGAACATTCCAACACCTTAGTACAAGTGTGTATACACATGCACATCCACAGGTTACACACACAGATACACAACCAGCTGGCGTGTGTACACACGCATGTATGCACAAACATCCAAATGGGCAGGAGGACAGCTTATGCACCTCTGTAGGCTTTTTGAGCCTTGGGGACAAGAGATGAACAAAGTCCCCATCCTGAGGCTGGTCTAGGAACACCAAGGCAGACATAAGTGACAAAGACCATGGAAGGTACTCACCTGGGTCTCCAGGGTGATCAGAGGACTTGGGTGTGGATCCTGAGGGAAGAAAGGAGAAAAAAAAAACTTAAGATGAGGAAGTTAACATACTACTCTATATTGTTTTCAATTAAAGCATAATTTTCTCAGTGTAAAAATGACCCCATAAAATGGGCCTGACTCTGTTTCCCCATCCTACACAGACAAGAGAATGGCTCAGTCTAATCTGCATCTCCTCCCAACATGTCCTCCAATGCCCAAGTGGTGAAGGAGGCTTGGGTTTTTCATCAAGGACACCCCCATGGAGATCATGCAAATGAATGCTGTGTAAAGAAAAAAGAAGCAAGCAGCCTAGCCAACTCTCAAAATGTGTTTGACTCCTCTCTATGAAGGAGATGGTGAGCACATAAAAGGATGAGAAAAACCTGAAAGAATATAAAATCCCTACTAGGGGCAAAGCCATCAATCTGTGTCTGATCTTGGAGAGAAGGAAGGAAGGAAAGTGGCAGAGACAGAGAACTCAATTCCCAATTTGAGAAGCACATTCCAATGGGCTGGGGAAGATCCTTTTCAGAATACAAGAAGGCCAGAGAAATGTCCCGTTCATTCACTCTCTACAAAAAACCAATTGACTGGAAATGCTTGGTGGCACTGTCTTGGGTCATTAAGCATGAACTCTGGGTTAGGGGAGGGACAGAGAGAGTACAGAAGGAGGAAGGGACTAATGAGAGGAGGTGGCAGTAGTCAGCAAGTGGTTTCCAAGGAAAACAGGAAACCCAGTACCATAAAGGCTATTTTTGTCTGGACCATGTCTGCTCTGAACATTCTTGGATTCATGATTCTAGGAAAACACCTTAAGCTGCCTTTTACAGAGAATGGCCATGACTTTCAGGGCCCCAAAGTATAAAACCAGTTTGAAGCTTGGCTTTCTCTTAGCAGATTTTCTAATACAGGCTTCTAGGAAGTCATGTAAATTAGCACCAGGCCACTGGTCTATACTGTCATTAAGAAAGGAGTGTAGGGAAATTG